TCATTTCTATAAAAGTCATTCATCAAACCTACAATTTTATTACGATTTTGGACCACACAATTCTGTTTTATTTGCCACTTTGTTTACAATTTCATCTTTAAGTAATATTGTATTTTTTTGAGTATCATGCTTATACACGAAATGAGACTTTTTCGACCTTTGCCTAGGAGGAAACAAACAAATTTATGTAGACTCATGAGCTGTATCTGTGCTAGATATGTTCAAGAGTTCTGGATATATTATGTAATATACCAAAAAAGTGTTTAAACAATACACTGAAAGTTTCAGTATATGCTCGATGATCAAAGTCACTGTTATTCATTATACTTCGAAAGTATTTAAACAAAATAAAATATTCAAACTCAAGGTATTTCAATAAGACATAATGTTCTTTGGGCAATAAAGCATATTATAATAATTATTATTATTATAAAATTGTTTTATCAAAATGGATGTTCTGTTCGGGCAACGTAGCGCGTGTTTCGCTTATTTAACGGTCGCCATAATCGTTCACAAATGGATAAATTTGTGACCACTGGTTCAGCAAACGATCGACCAACACCCGCACGTAGACGAACGCAAGATCCGTCAAAAAATCGTGCTGTCTGTGAGAGTGTTCACAATAACTCGACCTTTCGCAGACCACAACTTTGCAAATTTTGCGTCGTGACTTGAGCCTGCACTCGTACAAAATTCAACTGACCCAGGAATTGAAGGTAAACGACCATAGACAACCACGTGTGTTCGATGAATGGGCTCTGGAGCAGTTGGAAACTGACCCTAATTTTCGTCGAAAAATCATCTTCAGCGATGACGCCCATTTCTGGATGAATGCGTACGTAAACAAACAGAACTGTCGAATTTGGGACGATACCAATCCACAGAGATTCAATGCATTCCCAAAAAGTCACTGTTTGGTGTGGATGTTGGGCTGACGGCGCCAGTGTCATGGAAAATTGGACGTTTCCGATGCGCTTCACCAAGATAAACCGTGGCAGTCATTTGAATGATGTTACATTCCACACATAATGATTTCAGTGGGACTTTCAAACGAATAAAAAATGTCCGTGATATCTCACACACACTTAGTTTTATTTAAATCTAAAAATAGCAAGCGCTTAATGAAAGCCCCTTTATATTTCCATAGTGTCATTTTGAATGATTTCATATGTAATTTTTGTATCCCAGAGCTGAATTTACATTTTAAAAAATAAACCACTACTCCATTTTTTTAACCGATTCATCTCAACTTTATAGCCTTGAAGTTATTTATACAATTCAGGTTGCTAAATTTTATCATAAACATTAATAAAAAAATAACTGGTAAAAACATCTTTACTCCTTCTAAACTGCTCTAAACTTCAATAAAGAACAAAATAATAAAATCTCACCTAAAACCACTTCGATCAAGTGGTGATATGCGTACAATCCACCGCAAAGCAATATCCACAGAGTAATCGCGACACTCAAAATCACAGTTAAAATCATCTTGAACTCTAATATCACAGTCAGTCTTGAGGGTATCTCCTCCTTTGGAAATATCGATTATTATGACGAATTGAGAGGAATACCTAAAAGGACTCGATGAATCAACCAAACGTTGTCGTTATCCACTACAACTATTACACCTTTCCAGATTAGTTCTCACAATACGCTCATTATCAGATACTGTTTTAATTTAATCGTTTTATTGTCAAGATATGCTCAGGTATTATTTTCAAAGTATAGTCTGGTTAAATTGTACGGTAGGTGTGAAGAAAAGTGTAGTTGTTTTTTTTTCCGGGAGGAGCATTTGTATTATTATTTTCAAAAACGTAGATGAGGTTCGAATATCTGAAAGAAAAAATGTTTTTTACTCAGTTATGAATCTGCTCTCTAAAAAGTTCATGGACAGAATATTATGGTTTCATACAAAATAAATTGTTCTGTATACAGTGCATTTATTTAATGTCCCCCCCTTTTATTTTTTGAACGCGTCAACTCAAAGAAATTTGGAATAATGAAATTAATCCATGAATACTTTAGTTTGAAGTGAAATTGACAGATGAAACTTTCAAGATGGCGACTGAGCGCCATCTGGGAAAAAAAGTAAATGGAAAAGGGGTCTTGTGACACATCTTTTTAAAGCTCCCGACAAATACTTCACAACCCTAGAATAAATATGAAGTCGATATCTTCAACTACTACAAAATGGCAGAACTTTTAATAATTGCCTGAATACATTGACATTTAACTACATACTATGAGGTAATAAGCTTGAGGTCAGTTCAGAAGATTGTCGAAATGGTTGCCTTGAACTTCTTGACATATGAACAGCCTATCCGATATTTCACGCCGAACATTTTCGAACATAGGAACGTCATTATCTCTAGAAAAAATTATTATTCTCTGCCGTATATCCAATATTGAGGCTGGTTCAGTTTCGTACACCTTTTGCTTCAAATAGCCCCATAAACAAGTCCAAAGGTGTCAAATATGGCGAGCGGGCTGGCCATTTTGTAGGACCTCGACGGCCAATCCAACGACCGGGAAAAGTAGTACCTATCCAAATACACACATCGGAAAAGTCTAGGGATATTTTTAAAAATGGCAATAATTTTTTTTTAGATCGCTTTAGGGAAAAAAAAGTTGACGGGTGATTATTAAACGAATGTAACTTACAACAAAATTTATTAAATGGTNTTCCGGAATGGACGGATGACATGAGGGCTTTTTGCTATGTACACTACCGGTAGTTGTGATTTTGAATATAAGTTCCCTCAAATATTTTCTACAGATAGGACGATTCGGAAAACGTTCATTGAAAATCCTTTCGGTCTCGTGAAAGTTACGCGTCGCACCGTAAATAAAAATCGCTTCAATTTGTGCTTCCAATGGACGAGAATTGACCATTTTAGAGATTGTTGAAGTGATAGCTTTCTACTAGTAAAACCGAATAGTAAATGAGAATATTCTAACTGAACAATGATGTTCATTGTCGTACTGACATTTTTGTCGTTTTTATAAAGAAAGAATAACTCAACAAACCTTGTCGGGTTGTTGGAGTTACCAAATGGCAGATAAAAAGGACTATTTCTAGAAATATCGATATTGATGTGTTTGTCTTCAGGAAATTATTAAATGTTCTGCCATTTTGTAGTAGGTGAAGATATTGACTTCATATTCTAGGGTTATGAAGTATTCGTCACGAGCTTCAAAATGATGTGTCACAAGACCCCCCTATCCAATTAATTTTTTTGAAAATTTCAATCTTTTGAGTTGATCCGTTCAAAAAATAAAAGGAGGGGGTACATTGAAGAAATGCACTGTATAATTTCATGATAATATCTAATTTTTTTATCTTGGTGGACAATATTTAGAAAATGCATATATTTTCAGTTGAATTTTAAAAAATTATAATATACATTATATTTTGGACTGTGAAATTTTTTTTGATGGCCCCAAATTCCACAAAATTAATCAACAAAATGCATTTTTTGTCCATACTGTATGACCCATTTGTATCAGAAACATTCACAAAATTTCAATGTATTGAATGATTGAATTTTCGCTCAATGAGGTTATCCCGATTGATGCAGGGTGTTTTTTTGTGACAGTTGAGTGCTTTTTTGACCTCGAAGAAGTTACGTAGAACGCCTGAAAATCGGGATAAACATTTTTAAATTTGTCCCGTAATATACTCTTCGTTACGTAACAATCAAAATAATTCATGAAATCGGTTAAAAAACTTAAATTATACAGGGGAGTTTCCAATCTAACGAGGTCACACATTCGGAGTCTGTTGAAAAAATTAGGTATTTTCTGCTAACGAAAAATTTGGTGTGAAAAATTGAATCAAGTGCTGAAAAACACAGTGGTATACGGTGAGTTTACTCCGAGTCAGAAGAATGTTTACAAGTGGAACAAGAAGGTTGGGAAGATGGACGCCCCAGCACAACAACAACCAATGAAAATGTTGAGAAAGTGAAGAAAATTGTTATGGAGAATTGTCGAATCAGTAGTAGAGAAATTGCTGAGGATGTCGTCATATAGTTGGCTCATGCCATGTAGTTTTCTCGGAAATTATGGGCATAAAGCGGGTGGCAGCGAAGTTCGTTCCAAAATTGCTGAATTTTGATGAAAAAAAAACCATCGCATGAGAATCGCTCAGGAATTATTGAATGACGTCAACGGCGATCCATATTTGCTTAAAAGGGTCACAACTTGTTATGACATCGAAACCAAAGTCCAATCCTCCCAATAGAAGAACCCAGAAGAGCCAAGACCAAAAATAGCACGTCCAGCTCAATCAAATGTCAGGGTTTTGCTCATTGTTTTATTCGATTATCATGGCATAGTGCATCAGGAGTTCTTGCCACATGGTCGTACGGGCAATAAGGAATATTATGAATAATGCTGGAGTTCTATCCCAACACCAAACCGTTATTTTCAAAACCTCGACACATGTTTCAATCACCAAGAGAGAAAGATGATCACTTCAACGATATCATCTTCAAGATGATGATAGAAATAACGGATTGGTGTTGGGATAGAACTCCAGTATATTCATCATTACACCAAAGGTTCCAAACAGTGCAACACAAGTAAGAAGTAAGTATTATCTTGTAGTTATGCTTCGTATTGCGAAAAGCAATACGAAGAAAATGTCTGATATTGTGAAAAAATAATTCATGCTTTTTGCATTACGATAATGCACCTGTTCAACCGTCTTTACTTGTTCATATATTTTGGCCAAAAACAATAACGTAATCATTCCTCAGCCATCGTTATCACCAGATTTGGCACCCTGCGACTTTTTCCTGTTCCCAAGATTGAAGAGACCCATAAAAGGACTGCGTTTTGCGACGATTGAGGAGATGAAAACCGAATCAGTTTCACCAACCAAGTTGGCATCTTCAGAAGAAGACGCCAACTGAAAAGGTTCAGTTTTCTTCATCTTCTGAAAAGGCCAACATGCATTTCTAGTGATTGGGAAAAGTGCTTGTTTTGGGTAAACCCCTCCCTTAAAAAAGGAGGGGGTAACATATTTTTGAATACTTGAAATGTTTCAACATCCCAAGCGATCATAAATTGGGTTACTATTGTATACGAGAATGAACGACCAGTTACCTATATCAAAACGGAAACTTGACGAACTTGTGCTACTGATTCACATTTTCGCTGATAAATAGTTCAAATCTTGGAGATCTGGAGAAAGTTTCAGCTTAGGATAACAGCAACCAAGGTCAATTTTACGCTGAAAAAATCCAGGCATCTGTTGGGTGTTGAATTTGATGCCACTATATCTTGGCGCATCAGAAATTAAGGATGCTATTTCGAAATGGAAAATTGAACACAGTTCAGCAACTTCTACTTCTCTATAAAGCACGAATCAGATCTTTGCAATAAGAATTTATTTGTTAAAGTCATCTTCACAAATTCCCAAGAGGTAAGTTTCGAGGAGAGACTAAAAAATTCATAATTGAAACTAATGATTCTGAAAAGTTAATTGTCAGCTAGGACATTGAATTTGAAACTTCAATAACAAAATCAGTTCATTCTACAGTGTTCAATAATGTGAATTTCTTCAAAAATGTTAAAATCATCAGCAAATAACGAACCTGTAAGTGCGCACATTGAATCCTCAAGAATATTGATAAAAAGAGAGAAAAGTAAAGGACCTAAAATACTGCCTAAAATACTGCCCTCTTAAGCTGTTGTAAGAAACTGATCAGATCGAAAGTCCCCCTTTCAACTGATTGTACTCCTTGTTCGAAATATGATTTTGAAAGAGTATGAGCTGTTCTGAAAAGCTGAAATTTTTAACAAGATAATAGAATGCTAAGGGCTACTTTGTCAAATGCCTTTTCACAAGCAGTGTATATGACGTCTGGTTGCTTTTTATTCGCTGATTGCTTGGATACAAATTCAAAAAAGGCACGCATTTCTTACTGTCGACTTGCTATGCAAAATACCATGTTGGAAAGGACTGAATTTGTTATATAATATAATATCAAATAATTTGGCTAGGCAGTTTAAGTTAATCACTTGATGGCAGTGCACAATGTTTGTTTGTATGAATGAGGTTTCATCCCCAAGCAAAAACAACGGTTTACTAGTTTGTATCCAGAATATTCTTTCAGCTTATTGGCGATCCAATCATCACAAGCAACCTTGAGAGTCTATACATTGTAGGCATGTTTGACTAACAATTCTTGTATGTCTTCAAAACGTACACGTTTTGCAGATGATCTTACTTGAAAATAACCTCCTGAGCAAATAAACAAAAGCCCAAGGTTACTCAAAAACGCGAAATCATTTATGCATATTAATTTACTTTTTCCGATTCGCGATACAAACAGTTTTTTTCGCATGATTTCGTCATTAACCGTGAAGGAGTAATGAGAATTATTATTCAAGTTGTTTGTGTTAGTAATGAACGACGAACCTGATAACACATTGGATCATCATTGAATGTTAATAGTAAAATTTCAAGACTCGAATTTTTGAAAGGGTGAATTTTTTTGAGGTAAGGGAGAAATATTCAACAGGTCATCCTTTGTAGCAAATGAAAAACTCTGAAAGCAATTTTTTTAATTGAAAACTTAAATCAACTAGATTGGTTTAACCGTTTAACCGATTGAAATGAACATAAATTGATTTCAACGTGTCATAAATCGGCGTCAATCATGTCATAAAGCACTGTCAACATCATTATTTTTGACAGATAATTTATTATTTCCGGAACCTGATAATTATGAGATGTGTCACATAAACCCCAAGTTTTCGATTTTGAAAATGAGTTTTTTGAGTTAATTTCATTGTTTTCTTTTTCTGGGACACCTCGTACACCAATCTCAATCAATCAAAATGCGTGTAATCCCATAATTTTCAAAAAGTTTGCTTTTGAGTAAACGCTTTCGTACATTTGGATATGAGAATTTGAGAAGCGGCGAAAAGCCACGATACTCCCTAGGTGGCTCGGGGAGTTATTAACATTGATTACCCATATCGAGAAAATGATGACTATATAGCAGTGGTGCTGTTGACAAAAAAATGATTAAGTTAAAATCTCTGATTTTTGAAAATTTTGCTTTTAAGCAAACGTTTTTGTGTATGCTCATTTAAGATCAAATCTCTCGACTTATGGACTTATGGTCAAGTCATTTGCCTAGCCACAATTCAAAACTTCGGATTTGCACATGTATCAACCGATTGAGCTTGATGCACTTGAGATATAATCCTTTAATAAATTTTAACAGTGTGGTCGTTTTGGTTTTAGATCACATTGAAATGAATTAATAGTAAAAAACAATTTCAGGTACAAGCTTATTTGGGGTATTGATGCATTGTCGGTTCCTACATTTGTTCGAGCGCCACCAAACTATCCCCAACCTTCGCCATATTCCATATTCCATATTCGCCATAACCTTTCTAAAATATTTTGGTTTTCCGTCATTTTCAATGTTTCCCTTGGGCTCCGATTATTTGATTCCCATATCATAGGGTGCATAAAAAACTAGTCCGCCATCTTGGGTGGTCCGTCATATCGGATTTAGACTGACTTCATGTTATTTTTCTTCTTTTTTTTTCAGAAAATCCTTCCATTTGATATCTATAATACCATGGGAGTGCACAGAAAAAAACAGTCCGCCATCTTGGGTGTTCCGCCATATTGGATTTAGAGTCACGTCTTTTTTTTAGCAATCCCTTTCATTTGATACCCATATTATGGAGTTGCATGAAAAACTAGTCCACCATCTCGAGTCACATTATTTTTAGCAAACCCAACAAACCCTTTTATTTGATATCTATATCAAGGAGTTGCATAAAAAAACCAGTCCGGCATCTTGGTGGTCCGTCATATTGGATTTAGAGTGACGTTTTTTTTTCAGCAAACCCTTTCATTTGATATTGGATTTAGAGTGACGTTTTTTTTTCAGCAAACCCTTTCATTTGATATTCATAGTATGGAATTGCATAAAAAACTAGTCCACCATCTTGCGTCATATTATTTTTCGCAAACCCAGCAAACCCTTTTCATTTGATATCTATATCATGGAGGTGCATAAAAAAACAGTCCGCCATCTTGGGTGGTCAGTCATATCGGATTTAGAGAGATTACATGTTATTTTTCATTTTTTTTTCAGCAAACCCTTCCATTTGATATCGATACCATGGGAGTGCAAGAAAAAAACCAGTCTGCCATCTTGAGTGGTCCGCCATATTAGATTTAGAGTGACGTCTTTTTTTTTCAGCAAACCCTTTCATTTGATATTCATAGTATGGAGTTGCATAAAAAACTAGTCCACAATCTTGCATCATATTATTTTTCGCAAACCCAGCAAACCCTTTCATTTGATATATATATATCATGGAGGTGCATAAAAAACCAGTCGGCCATCTTGGGTGGTCAGTCATATCGGATTTAGAGTGACTACATGTTATTCTTCTATTTTTTTTTCAGCAAACCCTTCCATTTGATATCTATACCATGGGAGTGCACAAAAAAAATTGTCCGCCATCTTGTGTGGTCCGCCATATTGGATTTAGAGTGACTTTTTTTTTCAGCAAACCCTTTCATTTGATATCCATAGTATGGAGTTGCATAAAAAACTAGTCCGTCATCTTGCGTCATATTATTTTTCGCAAACCCAGCAAACCGTTTCATTTGATATCTAAATCATGGTGCATAGAAAAACCAGTTCGTCATCTTGGGTGCTCCGTCATATCGGATAGAGTGACGTCATGTTATTTTTCAATTTTTTTTTCAGCAAACCCTTTCATTTGATATCTATACCATGGGAGTGCACAGAAAAAACCCGTCTGCCATATTGGATGGTCCGCCATATTGAATATAGAATGACGGCACTTAGCTAGTCGTGCATTGTTATCCAAACTGAACATGCTTCAAAATTCAGTTTCAATATTTGACCCGAACTAACATACATACATTCAAACATTTCAAGTTAGATAAAAGTTTGTAAAATGTTTCTTTTAACTCTTTACGCATTATCAGATTTTGGAAAAAGTACTGTAACTGAAAATTGTTCGGTAGCCGAGTGATTAATTATATTATTGTATGATGGAAGTGATCGAACGTAATTCGATACGTTAATAAGGGCAACAGTAGCATTGTAAGATATAAAAATAGTTTTTATTCCATCAGTTACGATACTTGATATTTACATGATATTTCTGCTCTAAAATAACTATGGATTGGTTTTTTCGAATAAGGTAAATTCTGAGATTTATATTCTTTATATGAACTCAGTGACTAGAGGATATTTTTCAGCTGACATCACTTATACTAATTGTAGTTGAAATTTAAAAAGGAATAAAAGAAATTGTCACCTCATAAAGATTTGCAACCTCCTGTTGCCGGTGAAGATGTGCCTCCGTGGCCGATGTCAGCAAAGCAATATATTGGATTATTGGTTTTTTCCAATAAGGTAAATTCAGAGATTTATATTCTTTGTATGAACTCAGAGACTAGACGATATTTTTCAGGAATAAAAGAAATTGTCAAAATGAATATCATAATAATATTATTTTTGTTGAAGAATTTTATTAGACGCTGTTGAAATGTAATTCCGGGCATTGTCTATAATGAATCAAAAATACTGGGTGTTGACTTGACTCAAAAAAGTTGAATACGATGAAACACGGACGAGAAGCACCGAGTAGTTTAAAGAATTGCTCCAGTATACAAAAATTTCCACCGAGGAAACTATAATCTCTCTAAACCAAATTGTTATGTTGTTTACAAAACTCGTTACTCTATCCTACTAGATTTTCCTCGATCAGTACCCTCTAAAAAAATATTTTTAACTTCACACCGATTCCTCGTAGCAATTTTAAACTGAAACACCTTCAGTTCATAGTTATCACCAAACACAAAAAACGTTATCACTCAAAACCGCGACATTCGCACGGTACGCCTCGTTCTGTCTAGAGACTTCCCCGATCCGCCTGGTACTGCTCACTGCTCGGCGTACCCTGGACCCATTAGCCAAACTACCTGTAGATAAGATGATGCCACATGTGGTCAAGGTACGTCCATAAAGATTCGTCACCAACGTGTACGCGTTGAAGGTTATGCAAACGTATACCGTGCGTACCTTGATGCCGCGTACGATACTGAGAAACATATTTAACATACTCGACAATGCTATGAGTTGAAAGCTATCAACAACACAATATATCTCAGTAATATGACGTATGAGTACTTCTGGATCGTCACATTCAAGCGTTCGCTACACTCTCCAGATTTGAGACCCCTTTGAGACCCCTGACTTCAGAAATGTATGCTAGTGTTAAGAGAATTGATCTGAAAAAAGGTGTGACCAGTTTCCAGGAAATTAAGTGTGAAGCTTATAAAACAACAACAAAAATTAATTGGCGCTCCGGGGCTACTTCATTGATTCCAGTGGTGCATTTGCTTTTTCAGCTGCAGGAAAACCTGGAACAACCTGCAGCACCACATCATCTGAAGATCTTGATCTAACAATGTCCTCTCTCTCATAAAACAAAATGTAGGGTGTCTNAATTATTAAATGTTCTGCCATTTTGTAGTAGGTGAAGATATTGACTTCATATTCTAGGGTTATGAAGTATTCGTCACGAGCTTCAAAATGATGTGTCACAAGACCCCCCTATCCAATTAATTTTTTTGAAAATTTCAATCTTTTGAGTTGATCCGTTCAAAAAATAAAAGGAGGGGGTACATTGAAGAAATGCACTGTATAATTTCATGATAATATCTAATTTTTTTATCTTGGTGGACAATATTTAGAAAATGCATATATTTTCAGTTGAATTTTAAAAAATTATAATATACATTATATTTTGGACTGTGAAATTTTTTTTGATGGCCCCAAATTCCACAAAATTAATCAACAAAATGCATTTTTTGTCCATACTGTATGACCCATTTGTATCAGAAACATTCACAAAATTTCAATGTATTGAATGATTGAATTTTCGCTCAATGAGGTTATCCCGATTGATGCAGGGTGTTTTTTTGTGACAGTTGAGTGCTTTTTTGACCTCGAAGAAGTTACGTAGAACGCCTGAAAATCGGGATAAACATTTTTAAATTTGTCCCGTAATATACTCTTCGTTACGTAACAATCAAAATAATTCATGAAATCGGTTAAAAAACTTAAATTATACAGGGGAGTTTCCAATCTAACGAGGTCACACATTCGGAGTCTGTTGAAAAAATTAGGTATTTTCTGCTAACGAAAAATTTGGTGTGAAAAATTGAATCAAGTGCTGAAAAACACAGTGGTATACGGTGAGTTTACTCCGAGTCAGAAGAATGTTTACAAGTGGAACAAGAAGGTTGGGAAGATGGACGCCCCAGCACAACAACAACCAATGAAAATGTTGAGAAAGTGAAGAAAATTGTTATGGAGAATTGTCGAATCAGTAGTAGAGAAATTGCTGAGGATGTCGTCATATAGTTGGCTCATGCCATGTAGTTTTCTCGGAAATTATGGGCATAAAGCGGGTGGCAGCGAAGTTCGTTCCAAAATTGCTGAATTTTGATGAAAAAAAAACCATCGCATGAGAATCGCTCAGGAATTATTGAATGACGTCAACGGCGATCCATATTTGCTTAAAAGGGTCACAACTTGTTATGACATCGAAACCAAAGTCCAATCGTCCCATTAGAAGAACCCAGAAGAGCCAAGACCAAAAATAGCACGTCCAGCTCGATCAGATGTCAGGGTTTTGCTCATTGTTTTATTCGATTATCATGGCATAGTGCATCAGGAGTTCTTGCCACATGGTCGTACGGGCAATAAGGAATATTATGAATATTGCTGGAGTTCTATCCCAACACCAAACCGTTATTTTCAACACCTCGACACATGTTTCAATCACCAAGAGAGAAAGATGATCACTTCAACGATATCATCTTCAAGAGGAAGATGATCACTTGGTGATTGAAAAACGTGTAGAGGTGTAAGAAATAACGGATTGGTGTTGGGATAGAACTCCAGTATATTCATCATTACATCAAAGGTTCCAAACAGTGCAACACAAGTAAGGAGTAAGTATTATCTTGTAGTTATGCTTCGTATTGCGAAAAGCAATACGAAGAAAACGTCTGATATTGTGAGAAAATAATTCATCCTTTTTGCATTACGATAATGCACCTGTTCAACCGTCATTACTTGTTCATATATTTTGGCCAAAAACAATAACGTAATCATTCCTCAGCCACCGTTATCACCAGATTTGGCACCTTCCGACTTTTTCCTGTTCCTAAGATTGAAGAGACCCATAAAAGGACTGCGTTTTGCGACGATTGAGGAGATGAAAACCGAATCGCTGTAAGAGCTCAAGGACATGCCAAAAAGTG